TCGCCAGTTAGACAACTGGCAATTCAGGTAAACTACGGTTATTAAATATAATATTATTATGTTTTATGTATCGGTAATATTCATTGACCAATTTAATAAGTTGTATCACTACTAGCTTTACGCCCGCGGCTTTGCTCGCGTTGAAGCCCTTAAGTAAATAGATTTCTTTAAAATATAGGTAAATATGTTTCAAAGTTTCTTCCAATTAAAAAATATTTTAAAAAATAATTTATTTATATCGGTTCAGTAGTTTTGGCGTGAAAGCTAGATAGACAGACAGACAGAGTTACTTTCGCATTTATAACGTTAGTATGGATTATATTTATGATGGATTAATCTATTAGTCATAGTTGGTTTATACGTTTGGTTTTACTATGAGTAACATAACGGATGTTATTTATTATTATTATGGGGATATTTCTTTGTTTTCTCGCCTGGGTTTATAGATAAAAATATAGATATATATTGCATATATAAAATAAATATTTTTATTATTATTATTTTATATTATTTATATATTTATCGTTATTCAATTTGATTCCAAACAAGCGATCGTAAAAAACGTGGAACCTAGCCATATTCAAGGAAAGTAATCAATAATTTAGAAAAAGAACCTAAAAAGAGATCCGATTGAATTACACAAAACTATTCATTATATCATAAACATTTTGGTGTATATAATACTTCCACATTACCCCGTCCGTGGTACTTCCCTTGAGGAACCTCCTCATTCGTACAACAGCAGAAGGTGCTGCGAGGCTCTACTATAGTTAAAAGTTATAAGGAATGTGTCGGTTAAATCCAAAATTGTGCTAGCGCTCTGCACCGGATATACGTCAGCACGAATGAGCTTACAAGATGCTCAATACAACAGACCAATGCTTATAATTCATTTTCCCGACACTTTTTGGAGGATAGGCGAATCGCGTAATGGTACGCAAATCTCTGTTACGACTTCCGCCAACACTGGCCCGCGTTCGCGCTCGTAAATAGCGCCTACTTGTGCAAACGCGAGCGCCTCTTGGTAATTGCTAGAGTACACACATTCCGCACTCAAAGTGCCAGATAGGCTCGTACACACCATCCGGGCCTTTTTGTTGAACCGCTCTTTTCGATATCGAGTCGAGGGCACCCTCTCCACAAGCCGCCGCCTCACGGCCGGCGTACCACAAGGCTCCTGCCTCTCACCCCTGTTATTTACGCTCTACACGAGCGACATACCCAGAGACCCCCACGTCAATCTCGCACTTTTCGCGGATGACACGGCGCTCTTTTACTCAGATCGCAACCTCAGCCAATTAACGACTCGACTCCAAAGCGCCGCCGACCGCCTCGGCGATTGGTTCCGCAAATGGAGAATCGATATTAATCCGGAAAAAAGTGTGGCGATTCACTTCACCCGTAGCACCCCCAACCCCCATCCGCCACACCGTTACAAAGGTCCTCGCCAGTACAGAAAGTTGGGGCAAATATCACTATACGGCCAAACTCTCCCCTGGGAGAAAACGGTCAAATATCTAGGAGTCACTTTCGACTCGCGTATGACTTTCACTACGCACATAAATCAAGTCCGAAATAAAGCCGCGTTCGTCTCCGGCCGGCTACACAATTTAACGAATAAACATAGTAAAATGCCCTTAAGGCACAAATTACTGTATATAAAGCTTGCGTAAGGCCAATCATGTCCTACGCATGCATGATCTTCGCACACATAAATCCTACGCGCATTGACGAATTGCAAGTAGTTCAAAGTAAGTTTATCCGCCGCGCAACCGGTGCGCAATGGTATCAGCGCAACGTCGACTTGCACAGCGATTGCAGACTCCCGACGATTCGCGCTCATTTTAAAGATTTGACAAAACGGTTCTTCGATAGAGCCCAGCATCATCCCAACCCTCTGGTGGTAAGCGCAGCAAACTACCTACCGGACACTAACGCGAACGTTAACAAGCGTCGCCCGCGAAACGTCCTCATCGACCCGGTCGACGAAGAGGACTTAGACACGATGGACCCACCGCCGGGGGTCCCGCCCGGATAACACTACACCCACAGTTAGTGTAACAACAATCACACCAGTTCGCCCTCGCCTCCGAGCACGGCGAGACCCACAAAACGCGTACACAAGGTACACCCGCGTTCCGGGGCGGTTCTCACCGCTCCCAGCCACCGATTAGCTAAATGCACAGTCGACGGCCGTCGGGGTCTCGGTCCGAACCGGCGACCTCGACGGCCCTTAGATGACACACCATAGTAGTTAAACGCACGCATGAGCACATGCGCGACCCTACCCATAGCGGAGGGTCCAAACCCGTGGGTTCTGGCTAGCCCACCGGTTCTGCGTCCGATGAAGCTTTAATAGTCTCGGGACTGAAAGCAAAAACATCAGTTAATACAAGATACAAGATACACATTCCGCATAGCTGCACGTCTTGAGCACGGGACCGCATCTCTGGCATATGCATGCATTCCATACGCTGCTGGGGAGGGGGGGGGGGGGGGGGGGTAAAGTTAAAGGCACGCCCTCTTACACGCGATATGAAACGAGCTGTTTGTCATAAGTCTCGCCGCGTCGGCAGACCGCCGTCTAGACGGGCTGTTTTATATACAGAACGTCATACCGTCCTACATGAAATAGAGACGGGTTATCTTGAAGCCACCTATGGCCCGTCCTTGCTGTTATTGCAAGCCAAAGTCTATTTCTTGGTATTTGAATCGTGTGCTTTTTCTCAGAGCCGTTGAAATTTTTCGTGTAAATATAACAACGCAATTTTTCCGAGCCCTATCAATGAACAGTGACGCAGACTCCTGTGTGCTGTCGCTATGGAGCTCAATAAGATTGGGAAACGTGGGCAGCGATTGCTATTTCTGTGTTATATTGTGCACTGCGGATACAGACGAGAAAATCCGTGTACACAATACGCAATTCAAAATCCGTTGATCGTACCGGTTTGCCGCATTAACGGCGCAGCTAAATCCATATGAAATCTCTTCTTCTATTTTCATAATGTGCCAGGGAACTAAGTGGTACTACAACTATCGGTCATAATTTTTTTATGTGAGAAGGTGGCAAGCGTGAGGGCGGTTCACCAGATGTTAAGTAATAGCCGCCGTCCATGGACATTTGCAACACCCATAGGGTTGCAGATGCGTTGGCTTCTCTTAATAAAGTTGGCCCCGGCTACCTCACTCACCAGACGAAACGCAGTAGTATAACATTTCCACTTCGCGCTGGTCTTCTGTGAGGTCTTGGTCTTGTGGAACTTACCCGGACGGATCTGCCCATTCATGCAACAGCGAACTGGGCGAGGCAACCAAGTGTTGTATTTTCCCTCAAAAAAATCATGATAAAGATGATGAACCTGATGCAAGATAAAGAACCTAGGCAACACGTTAGATGACGTTTCAAAATGTACAATATTTATGAAAAGAATGTGGAAGGAAGAGCCGCGGCGATCTAACATAAATTTTCCGACCCGCATAAGGAAGGCGTTTTCATTGTCATCATAAAAGGTATCAAGGAAACATATACTACGTTTTTTACCTTCAAGTATTTCCATTTGAATATGATTTAATGAATGATGAATAAGTGGTTTGCACGGTGATAAGCTCCACCACACACTTGTAGATAAAGAGATTAATGTCTTCGTCAGGCTTGATTGGGGTAGAATACAATGATTGGTCAGGTAAAGATTATTTACAATGTGTTTTTAATGGGATAAAATACTTTAATATTGCAGTAAAAATCAAACACTGTCACGTTTAAGGCGTCCAAGGTATTCAGTAAAGCATCAGTCGGTCTTTGAAGATGCACATCTCTTGTTTTGGCCTCCAGTTAAAAATAACAAAGAATTTGGTACAATAATTTCTTAAAAACATGTGTAAAAAGTACGAAAAGATTGTCGCCGCTGTGGAAATCGAACCCACGTCTTCGGCCGAAGTGGGTTCGATTCCCACAGCATCTTTTCGTAATTTTTCTACATGTTTTAATGTTCAATCTTAAAGTGCAGAGATTAGCACTATAAAAATGTTTAAAATCAATAATTTCTTATTGTTTTAAGATTTTTTGTTTTTGTTTCTATTTAATTGATGACATTTTTTTCAAACATCTAACTAACGTAATATGTAAACAATTATTAAGTACTAAATGTAATATGTTTTAAATATAAAAAATATAGGTATGCATAGCCGTGTAATGTTTTGATTAATGATACTATATCTCTTGGCCCACCATCAACAGCTGTTGTTTAACCCCATAATTGACCGTAAACAATTACAGATAATAGAGGCATCGTTGTTGGTACGATGATATCGGAATCTAAATATTGAGGAAGATAACACGATAATTACGTAAGCCTAAAACCGTACGTTTACTATGCGAGTTTCTTTTCGCGCTCAAAACAACATTATCTATAATGGTACGCTAAAACAAAAAACAAATGATATTTTTTTTTACTTGTTTTTCCTAAAGTTTTATCATTCCGGACGCCGTGAAATAATGAGAACTGAACGCGATATAAAATCCTTAAAAAAATGTATATCGTTTTTTTTTTTTGATGATCCTATTATACTATTACTATGACATAAATGATATATGCCATATATATAGATGATGCTAGTGCAGCAGATTTACAACGGAAAAAAAACTTTTAAATGTTGTCAAATTGTATAAAATGTTGAAAATTATAGAGCGTGACATTTACTTTATACTTTTGCCCCTTTTTATTCATGTGTTCAGCAGAAACAATAAAAAACTGGCCAAGTGCGAGTCTGAATCGCACACGACGGGTTCCGTATATAAAAACAGCAAAAGAAAAAAGCCTATTTTTTTATTATGTTTTTTTACATTTTTTGTTATAGCGGCAACAGAAATAAATCATCTGTGAAAATTTCAACTGTCTAACTATCATGGTTCATGAGATACAGCCTGGTGACAGACAGACAGACGGCGGAGTCTTACTAAATATAATCCCGTTTTAATCTTTGGTTACGGAACCTTAAAAATGTCGGGCGATGCCGAGCCAGCGGTGCAATCCGGCTCCTGGCATACCAAGGGACACTCGTCTAGCACGGAGTGTTCTCTATTCGTCGCAACACCTAGAGTAAATTTTCAGTCACGTACCGAGAATCGAGTTAGGAGGTGTCGGTTGGTTCATCTACTTGTGAAACCTTTATAATCCATATACACAATAAAATAATGTTGATGATGATGACGCCCGGTCGATTTTACACGGACCTATCGTGAAAATGTCAAGCGACACGACACGGCGACACGTGTATTGGGTAAAACCAAATTGTCATAATTAAAACTCGTATGAGCAATGGATAGTTATTTCTTTATCTGGAGGTTTGTCCACGCACAATACATATTAAAATTTGATTAGGGTGTAAAAGCCACCTTTACCATATTTACACCTTGAGTCATTTTCTTTACAAGTAGTTTTTATTTATAGTATTAGTATATTCGTTTGCAAACTCAGTCTTGATTTATTACCACGTGATACGACTACACGGTTACACACATACTATACTACTGGATTTTCAGATTACCAAAAGGACGAATTCTGAGTGTCAAAACATAATCTGTCAAAGGGGTAAATTAAAACTAATTTCCAAATGCATTTCATCTAAAAAATATTGTCTGACGTGTGTATACAAAAGCATGTAAAAAATTCGTACATGTCGTACAAAACAGGAGTGTTTAATTCATGCCTATAATATCTTCTTTCTTTATACCTCTAGTTGTCAAAATTGTAGTAATTTGCTAGTATCTTTATTGACCGGCTGTTTCTCTGACGCCAAACCCCCTTGGATTCCCAAGGAGGTCTCGATCTGAATAACAATTAGAGCAGAAGTATTAGCAACTGGGTCAGACAAACAATTGCTCCATGTGGGAAACGAACTCACGACCACCGGTGCCGAGGCCAAACGCTTGTAAACTACGCCTCGAAGGCAATGATGATAGCCGATGTTACTAGCGGTATAGAGTAAGCAAATGTCGAAAGGTAAGTATTTAAATCGTTGAATCAACACAGACTCCGCTCCACGTGGCCGCACCCCTGCCTTTAGGGTAGCGGCCACCCCGTAGGTAGAAGTGGGGTAGCCGCAATCAAGCCATAGAGCTGTGCATCGTGGGTGCAAGTGCCCCGGCGCGGGGCTTCGGCCCACGAGCGAGACCCGATAAGAACTCACCCGTTGCATACTTCACTGCGGGGCACGTGCTTCCCCATCTAAATGCCCCACGCATTTAGATACTCGCTAGGGTTGTCTCAGAGCACAAGGCTGTACAAGTGATGAGACGTTTATAGAAAAATATCTCTTCTCCATTATCACCTCCATCTTTTCAAAGGGTACTAAATGAAACATTTTCACGGTTTCCAACGTGGCGTTCAGATCGTTCTATGTGCTCATACATTAATCATCACATAAAGCTAGGTATAAAACCGTATTTTGTCTTAAAGACGGCATTTAAAGATGGCGTGTACATGTACTAGTTGACACTTATACCCTGCATTTATTTGCTAAGACATGCTAGGGACACTAATTCCTATTCGCTAATTAAATTAAAAAAAGCTATTTAATCTAAATCATAGCTGTTTGTTTTTACTTGTGCGACGAACAAATAGAACAGACAAAAAAAGAAAAATTAACAAAGCATACAGATAGTAAAAAATTTAAATGTAATAAATAAACACGGTTCCTTTACTAAAGACATAAGAAAGAATAAAACACGGTTCACGACAGTATTTCTTTGACTTAAGATTGTATACCGGTGGACACATTAAGTAAATAAAACCGTTTATTGATAGGCTTCGAAATTGTCCAGTGGGAATCGCACCCGTCCAACGTGGGACAGCCCTGATCATGGTAGAAGCGGTGTGGGCACGATTGCTTCAATCGAATACTATAATATACACTATATTAGATGTCGGCAAAAGGGTTACCCACAAAGTGCGATGGGCAGCAATAGAAATGCAAGTATAATAAAGTGAGATATTAAAAACATTTTACAATTTGTTATTCTCGACACTAAAGGTAAAGTAATAAAACTTTAGAAAAGCTTTAGCTTTGCTTTTTACTCTGAACTTCCGTGTGCTTTTAATTTAATTTACTGGAGCAAATAGTGTTTAAATACAAGCTATTGTTAACAATAGAAATGTTAATAGTACTTTCAAGTGCTGCCTTCCTACGTATGCGGCGGTTAAGAAAAACATCGTGGCGAGACCAGCATATCCGAGTCTGCTAATCCGCAGTGGGTCGGCGTATTGGACTATGCCTTAATGCTCTCGGTACAGTGAATGTCTTTGCGCAGCAGTAAGACATGAAATATATAAACTGGTAGCTAAGTTGGACTCTCAAGACTACACGAAACCTCCTTGACCCTGATAAGAGGAACTAAAAGTAAGTTTAATCGAGAGTGGACAGTCTTTAACTGTACCACCGCGTTCACCGATAAAAGCCACTTCGCTATTATTTATCACATTTATAAAGATAGCAGATAATAAGTCAAGCACAAATATAATTATACTATCCCTTACATTCTAAATAACAGTTTTTCTGTAGTGCATCCCGCATAATTAAACTACGACAATCGTTTGTTATAAGGAAAGTATGACACTATTCTCTATAGACGAGCAATAATTTGACAAGCACGATATGTTTCAGCGGGTTTCGAACGCGACGAGTTGTTAAATTTGTATCGACGATCGATAACTTCAATGCTTCGGACCGTGGCTGCTACCGGCGACAGATCGATCGGCATTTATATACGAGTCGATGGTTATGCAATGTGTCTGGTCAACAACAAGCAGTTACACAACGAAATATACCTAATCTAATCGACACAACAACCTACATTTACTGGTCGCCCCTCTCCGTTGCAATGGCCGTGGTATTAACTTTCTATAATGAATTTAAGATGTCTGTACTGGAAAATTTCGATATCCTGGCCTATTGTCCATACACCCCCCTCCCATATTTAGGTTATTTGTCAGTAAAATTAGGCATATTTCATGCTCTTATCGTTAATTAAAGACCCTTGTATCCATCTGATATTCATATATAAGAGTAGTATAATCATAAAAAAAACCTGCCAAGTGCGAGTCGGACTCGCGCACAAAGGGTTCCGTACCAATGTCATAAAAACGGCAAAAAAATTGTATAGGGGCCACGTCTTAAATACTTTTTTATTCTGTTTTTTAGTATTTTTGTTTATAGCGGCAACATAAATACATCATCTGTGAAAATTTCAACTGCCTAACTACAGGGTTCATGGTATAAGGACAGACGGACAGACAGACAGACAAATACTAAAACTACAGACAATTACTACAACAAATACTAAAAAAACGGAATAAAAAATATTTGGCTCTCATACAACAGACATGATTTTTTTTGCCGTTTTTATAGATAATGGTAAGGAACACTTCGTGCGCGAGTCCGATCCGCACTTGGCCGGTTTTTATTAGAATTAATGCCCAGTATAGAGTATATAACCTTCCTAATTTGAACGTGGGCGTATTTTCGGCTTGTATTTAAAACGCGGTACTCATCTAAATAATAGGATTAGATTTAAATGTGATTACGTTCTAGATTTAAATTTCCTATCGAACGTAATCGCTTCGTATAAGTCGTTTGAATTTTAAATTAAAGCGGAATTATTAGGCAACAATTGGACGGTGATAAAACGACGGTTAGATAACGTAACACTTTTTTTTAATAACAAATCACAGCAACAAAAACTCTTTTGTATATGTATCCATTTTAATACGGATTTTAGCATAATTTAGAGCGGCGCTTTAGCGCACCATGTAACAAAATAAATAATTCATGTTGTTCTAGTATAGAAAATTAATTGAGTCAATGATTTTTTAGCGCTTCATGCGAATCATATTTTATATTGCAACAGTTTCAGCTGTGCAGAGCGTCATAAAATAACGGCATGAAACGAAAGTGTCATACGGAAAATCTACAAAAATACAAAAATATTAAATATCAATAAATTATATACATACAGTCAGTACCTACATGTGTTTTTTCCTAAAAGATCAAATCGATATTTAACCCGAAATAGACTAACCTAACCTCGAATTACCAACATGTAGAACTGGGGTAGGAAAAAAAATATTCGATTTGTGTGAGCGCAACTATACAACAAACGGCCTGAGGAGAAATTAAGTGATGTCGTCAACGCATCTGCATGTCCTCGGGTGTTGCAAATGTACATAGGCGGCGGTATTCACTTAACATCGGGTGAACGACGCGACCTCTTTGCGTAGTTTTCACATAAACAAGAAGCTATACCTCTTTAAAATCTGTGAATAAACCAAAGTACCTGGAGGACGTTTGTTTTTTTTTTGTAAATCGTGTATTTTGTAAATTAGATTTAGATACAAATTACTGAGTAATGGAATATGCATAAGATTTTTCGATCGTACCGACGTAATAATAAGAAAATATGAACTGGTGTATTTCACAAAAGAAAGAACATTAAAAAAAAGGAAAGATGGGCAAAAAATAAAAAATAAAGAAAGCAATGATCTGGAATCGAAAAAAATTAAAAAAATAAGTATGTAAATCATCGTGACACGAACCACGGCTTTCTGTTTCGGAGCCGCCCGATTACCGACCGAGCTATTATAACATTTTTTTTTCGGCGAAATTTACCGTCATATTCAAATGATATTTTTTTTTCCTGAAAACCGTCATTTCCTGAAAACAGGGATAAAAGGACATTTTCTAAAAATTAAACCTAGCTAGATCGATTTTTCGCCCCCGAATCTACGCACGTACTAAATTTCATGAAAGTCGCTGTAGCCGTTCGTTTTCGAGATTCCGATTATATACATATATTATAATTACATACATATATTATAGTTATTAATTGGATAGCAATAGTTAATATACAATATATATAATAAATAGTTAATGTACAATATATTAGGAAGTACCTATTATAAAGCGTGTTCTTTATGTAAATTATGTCTGACTAGGACAGAATATCAAAGTTGGTGTACCTTCCGTGCTACAACTTTGAGTCCTTGACCATTTTGTCTAAATAATTGTTATTTTTTTTTTCTATTTATGTTACTCTTTAAATATTTTGTGCAGTGTTTGTATATTTAGACAAATAAACGATTATTATTATATATATATATATATATATATATATATATATATATATATACAAGAATTGCTCGTTTAAAGGATAAGATATGTTACATTACATAACGTCATACCTACAAAGTGATACTTGTTACAAGTTAACGCTCACAATGCAAGTAAGTGCACTGCTGAGTGCTGACACAGGACATGCTTAGAATAGATGCCAATAGGCACGTAAATCGAGACGGGCCGTTAGAAAAAATCGTGTATACGTTAAATATTTTATTCACTTAATGAATACGGGCCTAAAAGTATTTATATTGTATTAAGTATACTTGAAAGATGTTACAAATGGAAAGTGTCGTTCATTGTGGCGTTCTAAGGGGGAGGCCTATGTTCAACAGTGGACGTCTTGCGGCTGATGATGATGATGATGATGAAAGACGTTAATAACAAAAAAAAACCTACTTCAATCAGAAAATTAAAAACATTGTTAATACCTACAACATTCAATGATGGCCCTCGATTTCTCGTGGATGCCATCATCAGATCCGGATTTATCCTTATCATGGTACCACCCTTGGGATATCTCCTTTCCGACAAAAAATCATCAAAATAGGTTCATAAACGACGAAGTTATCCACGAACACACATAAAAAAATATTTACGGTCGAATTGAGTAATTACTGTAGGTACTGTAAAAGTAAAAAAGTGAGTGTCATGATACACATGAGCGAATGAAATTTAAAATATATACGGCGCCCATATTTTATATTTCAAAAAAGTGATTAAAGATTAATAATATTATTTGAATAAGTTTACGTCTTTACTTAACAAACTCGTCTAGTCAATCGTCGACTTCGTCTCGTAGATGTAAACATCCGCCCTCAGTTATCGTCACAGCTGCCGACGTTACACAAAACGTAAACTGGCGCGTTCACAGTTACCGCCGAACCGAACTAAACAGAACCTAATAAAAAAGAAATTTTAAAATCGGTTCATAAAGAAGGTATTCAAAAGTCATCAACATCATCATTTTCCTGCCCTTATGCCACGTATGTGTAATCGGTTGTTGTACGATCGGACGAACCACGATGTTGTAAGCGGTTTTGCCTAGATTTTTAATACCGGCCGCCATTTCTCACTTCAACCCTCCTTGGGAAACAAACACCGAGATTGGGAACTATTGTCTGTGGGTCAAATAAATACTTGTCCCGTGTAGGAATCGAACCCACGACGAATCGCCGAAGCCAATACCTTGGCAACGGCGCCACCGAGTCATCGAAGGAATTCAAATGTAACAAACATAAAAAATACAACCGGATCGAGAACCTCCATTTTTAAAGTCGGTTGAAAAGTTAGCCTCCGTCTAAAATACAATAAATAGCCGCCTACAATCTGTTCAGTTAAACCTATCGTATAGATCGTATAGATGTCATAGATATCAAGAGCCCATTCTCGATGGAGCGAGCGCCCGCGTCGACCCACTTTTGATCTCACGCCGGCCCTCGAGGCAAAGGCGCTCGTGTTGGGGTGGTATTCTGAAGCGAAGTGGGGCGCGTTAGAGGCGACGCGCGCTTCACTCCCGCCTCAAGCCGGAATCGCATTACGCTAATGAATAAGCGACGGTTGGCGGCGAAAGGGCATCGGTTTTCGAACTAAGGCTTTTAATTGGAACGCAAGGGGGTTCATCTAGCAGTCGAACGACTAAGGTTTCGAGCGCTTTTGTTCACTTGCACACAATACAATGCAAATAGGGGTTAGAAAATAACTCTAAAGTGAAAAGGTTCGTTGAATAATGGAAATAAACCGTTCGTGAGTCACGACGTTTTTAAAATACATTAATAAAGTACATACCGAGAAAAATCAAGAAAGATCTCGATTTCTTGACGCTCGTATATATCGCAATACGTATCAATCGCCAAATCAGCGATCTGTTCACAAACCATTTCACTTTGAACAATAATTCAACACGCGCGTCATACGAAATAAGATACATCGATGGCTCAAATCGAAAACGTAAGTATAATCGGCAAAATATAACGAGTTATCAGAAGTTATTTTTAACTCGTGAAAATATTATCATGAAGCAATAAGCGATTGCTGTGACAATTACAAAAACCACATTTTTTTAACGAAAAACAAAACCGATTTCAAATATGTCAGTCACTGTACATACACATTTCCTATTCGATGTTGAGTTCCCTCGTGCATCTTCGATATGCAAGTGCCAATTCCATTAAAGTATGTTCTTTCGAACTTAAATAGAATTTTCCAACTCGGGGTCATGTTCCGTGGTAACAAACATAAAACGAATTGTTCACATCCAATTTTTAAGGTCCCTTAATAATCAGGAAAGCGCGACGGCATAATTAGTCGACCTGTAGATTGCATTACAAAGCAAATTCTACGGTGGCGAAACCGCAACGGTTCCGGTACTTCGGATCGATGACGCCGAATTAAAGTCAATCTTGCTATAATCGACATAAATGAAATTTAATTTTAAAGAGAAAATCAAGCTTATTTAGGTATTCAATCATAACGGGTAACCAATACTTTCTGTCGATGTAGCGCCTATTTAAATAGTGCTTATTGAGAAATTGTAGTTGTTTCATTAAATAATAATCAACACCGATCGCATGAAACGATCAGGTCACGATCAAAACAATGGACGTTTTCATGAGCCGATGCTCCTTATAAGGTTGCCAGGTAATAGTTACGCAATTATTTTTATGATGGAGCCAACAATGTGTTTGCAGAATCCGTGTTTATATGTATGTCTCAAAGCGGGTAAAATTTAAATGAAATTCCAATACATTCATGCATTCAGGTAAAAAAATAATTGCGTTTAAATGACATGCTCAGGTTAAAAAGAAATAATTTGTAAGTCAATGCGCCTAAACATTGTGTATGAACAACACACTAATACTGCAAGACCTTGAGACAGTTCACTTACCTTGATCGGACCGTTAATAAGTACTCAAAAAAACCATACAATAGCTCGATTTACTATGACATTAGCACGTAAAAGACCTCAGGCCGTCATATGACTGGAAACATTTACAAATATTTCAATTAATAAAAGGAAAATAAAAAAGAATCAAGACATAGAGAAGTTTCTTTGAACAATGTGTAGTATTCCAGCAAATCAAGAAACCTTTATTTAAGAAATGAACACCGATTTTGCGATTCAGAAGGGCAATCAAGCAATGAAGATATCCGTATTACAATGAAAACTACGGTGGTACGCTACGCAGCAGCCTCGGTTGTTGCACGAATGGGCAGGCCCTTCCGGGTAAGTACCACGACCTCACAGAAGACCGGCGTAAAGTGGAAGTATGACAAATACTTTCGCGTTTCGTCTGGTGAGTGAGGTAGCCGGAGTATCACATATGTAACCCTCGGGTGTAGCAGAAGTCTATGGGTGGCGGTATTCACTTACCACAGGCGAACCATCTGCTCGTTAGGCAACTTTTCACATAAAAAAAAAGAAAATTGGTAAGTCTGTAGGAAGAGAGCCTACTACTCCTAACTCAAAGGCCGGCAACACAATTATGAATTCTCCGATGTTGAAAGTAGCCATGTGCGGCGAAAACCGCTTACCATCAGGTGAACCAATTTCTCGTTTACCTTCTTAATCCATAAAAAAGTCTGAAGTAGCAAAGGGTTGGCCATATAGCGCAGCTCAATAAGCGAAGACCGATGGGGAAGAATGGTTCTCGGTGGTAGTCTCTTATCGGCCATTGCAGTGCAAGACGACCCCTCACTAGATGAGGTGATGACTGGTACAAGTGTGCGGGGAGTCGATGGATGCAGGTGGCTGAAGATCCTGCTTCGTGGCGGTGGTGGGGAAGGACTATGCTCAGCGGTGGATGAACGATGATGAATTAAAGCAAACTAAATTGAAACAAGAGGCCTGATTCTAATGTTAAAAAATGTTGGAATATCAACGAAAGCATTGAAGCGTTAAGACAGATAAGATACATTCATGCATAAAGGCAAACGCATTGAGGCATAAAGCAAAACGTATTGAGACGAAAACCTTTATGGATACCCATTCATTCATATGAATAAAGAATTTTAGTTATTTGGAATGACTACATTTGTGAATATAACCGAATAACTCCCAGTGCAATTAGCCACGAGTAGGAACATGGCCGCGAGTATAGTGAAAAAATGTGATTATGTGAGTGGATGACAAGCTAGCTGGCGGTTGTCCTAATGTTATGTGATAATCGACGCCCATGGGCATCTGCAATATCCGTAGGATGGCAGACGCGTTGCCAACTTTTAACAAAGCGGACCCTTTTTACCTCACTCACCAGACGAAACGCAGAAGTATAACACTTCCACTTCTCGTCGGTCTTCTGTAAAATCATGGCGTTTCCCCTGCTGAGCTCCATTCGTGAAATAGCACTACCACTGTAAGTATCCCGCAGTGGGCCGAAATTGTTTTGTGCGTTTTGAATGTCTCAATATTTATGGCATTATATTAATAATGCATAGAATTAAAAATTCCAAAAATACCGGCGTGATAAAAGTAAATTTAAAAAATATACTAATATGCTGTTTTAATGGTACCCTTTTTATTCACTGTCATAACATTATCACAATATGGTGTCAACCATTCGTCATACTTAACATTGATAGGTGTAATGTTTGTAGTGTCACTCATAAAATTGAGTCAATTCAATTGACGTAAGAATCATCAGAATCGTCCAACGCGTTTGATCTCTAGAGCGCCAAAAAGGAACGTACATTGACTGAAAGACAATTTACTATCCTAAAGGTCGCGCAGTCGGGTAATAATAAATAAATAAATATTCTAGGACATCTTTTTACACAACCTTCTCTATCAGCAGCTTCAAAATAAGCATCGCTTATACTATGGGTACTAGAAAGCATACTTTTCTTTTGTAAATAAATACACATTATAAATATGTAACACCCAGACACTGGAAAAACAGTATGTTCATCACACAATGTTTTTCCAGTACTGGGCATCGAAACCCTCTGGCCCAAAAGGCATGTTCAAAAATTGAAGATATGTGAAGCCTGCAAACCGCAGTGGGGAACGATGCTATACTACCCTGGTAGACGTGATTATCTCCAGCAGTGGCACATATGTTTAGTGTTGACTCAGCGAGTTGTTTATATAATACGACAATTATCTATACACAATCCATACCGTCTTTATAGCACTCAAACCATTTATAAATCAAGCGACGGCCTTTCGTGGCTGAATAAAACAAAGCAGGTGTAATGAAGAATGCGTGACGTCACGTACTCAAATAAAATAGTACTGTGACAGCTGTACTGTACCGAGACATTGTAATTCCGAATACATCCACTTCGAACTCTAATACTTTCTAACCTTTGACGAGTGGAAAGGTGAGGCGCCGGCCCGTATGAGGAAGTTCACGGAATCGCAATTGAAAAACTATTAGGCTTGCATATAAATAAGTAAGATTGTAATGTAAGTAAGTAACATCATATACATGTTCGACTGTTGGGCAAAGGCCTTCTGTGTAAAGAGGGTGTTAGGACATATCCCCATGGGACCCCACTGGAGTTTAACATATTTTAAAAAATATATTTATTTTTGTTACTATTTCGAAGATATGGATTTATGCTTTCCTCACAATGTTTTCTTTCCTTCGCCGCCCAGCACGTGATAAGTCAGCACTCAACGCTAACATTTTCATCGGTCCGCGCACCGGATTTTGACGTCAAGTGGCTCAAGTATAATGAATTAAAAGCGAGCGCCCGGACCCTGAGCTATAACGGCTATGTAGACTGTTCGCATACAGATAACAAACCAAAGCACATCACTTAACTTGAAATCGAAGCGACAACAAGAAGTTTAAATAAACAATTCAAAAAGAGAAGTTCCAAACATGACGGTAAAGCTATCGTCACGAAATGGTTCCTTTCAAGCGGCTGTTTCTCGTTGAAAGATACAGAAAGTAAACGAACGATTCTAGCACTGCGCTGAGATCGGATGTCGATGAGTTTCGTGATAAGTAAAATAAGAAGCCGCTGTCTACCCCGTTCACCTCAAGCGACAGCTGTTCTTTATTTAAAAACAAAATAAAATTCTAAAAATAATAAAGTTCTTTGTAAAACAAAAACAATGGGTCGCCATTCGCCGTTGTACGATGTCTGCCTTTAAATTACCAATAAACGATCAATCATTGAAAAACAGTGAGCTTTTCTATACATAGCACACCTTTGTAATCATTTATTTATTAATGTAACACATATATTGCACTGCTGGATCAAGGCCTCTGTACAACATAGTTACATAGACAACCTTGGATTAAATTTCTGGATAATTTTTCGGTTTGAACTGATGTTTGGTAAACTCTATTTACCAAACATCAGTTCCAACCACTATTGTTTGGTAAAAACTTAAATTGGAAATATTTTATCTTCATCACTTCAACACTTTTTCATCCCCTGCTGAACATAGGCGTCTACCAGAGACTTTACATTTATCAAAAACTTATAGTCAGTAAACGGTGGTTCACTAATTAAGTAATAAACGTAAGGACATACGAAACAGCTCAGTACCGAGTACAGGATAGGCTCAAGAGTATGCACTCAGCCATT